CTCTCTCTCTCTCTCTCTCTCTCCTCCTTCTTCGGAGAAGCAAGAGGTCCTCTCCGTATGTACCATTGACCACTCCCCACCATTGTGGTTCTGTTTCCAAGAGAACCCAGAGTCTGCCCTAAAGAGGTACAAACGTTCGGAGATGGCTCCCTTTTTTTTCCCCAAAAGGCCAAGGTCCCCCGTCCTTCCCCCTGGTTGTACCCCACCCCCACCCCATCCCCCTCGCAGGGTCACCTGCTTGTCATAATAAATGCAAGAGATGGCAAAACCAGCACGTCCACCTCCGGCTAGCAGTCCCCTCACCCCACCTCCCCACCCCCACCCTGGCGGGCATGTTCACCGCTGCCTCTCTCCACAGCTGCGCTCACTTCCCACACAGGCGGGAACAGAAGCTCGGATTTGCTTTTTTCTCTTTTTGTTTCTTTCTTAGGAACTGGTGTGAGAGCCTTTGAGTTGTGTCAGGCGGGTCGGAAGTCACTACCCTTTGACCCAGGGATGTGGGCGGCATGGGTTCCCCAAGCCACCACGTGCCCTCCACATGTCCTCTCCAGGTCCCACAGTCACTGAGGCACCCACCAGCCCCAAGAGTGACCACCCTTTGTCCCTTCCACCTTGCCTTCCTCCATGTGGTTGTCCATCTTGCTTTATGTTTCCTATCTGTCTGTCCAGCTGCCTGTCTGCCTGCTCCCCCCACCCCTGCCCATGGGGCCTTAGAGCCCATTGCTCCAGCCCCAGAAGGCTTACCGCCTCTCCCCATCCCCTTCACTCCCCCCTCTGTCCCACCACCTGGTAAGTATGCTAGGACAGACTGCCCCCTCCATCCTCTCATGAACCATCTCAGGGGGACTGAACTGCAGGTCCAGGGGAATCACAAACCACCCCTGATGGACCTAGTGCTCAGAGCACGCCAACTCCAAGCTGCAAGGACCCCTAGAAAGGATGAGCCCAGTGGGAGAGGGCTGCCTCTGAGAGCCAGGTCCAGAGAGAAGGAAGAAGGACGGCCGAGCTTGAGGTCTTCTGTACACAAGCCAGCACGCACCCCAGGAAGGTTCCTATGCAAATGAGGCAAACAATGATGCCCAGATCAGGGGAAGCTCCCATGAGGGCAAGTGTAGGCTAGAGTAGTAGCGGACATGTGTCCGGGCCACAGAGAACATCCTTGGAGCCATGATGACACTGGCGAGTCCCCACCTGTCACAGAGCCATGGCTTCCTCGGGCCTCCCCTCCTTTCTTTTCCAGCTCAGCCCTCCTGAGTCCGAGCGAGACGCCGCCTCCGTCTTGTGACTGCCCACTATCACGTCATTTCGTTTCATGTGACACTGGCGGTGGCTCAGGAAAGATGTTCGCTCACTCATAGTCACATTAAGCCTTGGAAATTAGGGATCTGTGAAACACCATCCCCCTTGCCACCCCGGGGCACACTCCCTGCCGGGCTCCATCCCGTCTGTGCACTGAAGAGCACGGGTCTGACGCTTCTTGTGTCTCCTTTCCTTCAGAAGCCTATCCTCCCAGTGACCCAGACACACCAGCGCCCCATTAAAACCTCTTCCCCACCGGCCCACCTACCGTGTTCTGTCCCAGGCCAGCAAAGTGGCGGCAGACGTTGAATCCCATGGCAGGCTGGGGTTTGTTCTGTGCACTGACTTCCTGGGTTTGAGAGTCCTGTCCCTCTGTATGTGCGTGTGTGCGCGCATTCAAGATTCTGAGTGTACTGAATTGGATGCTAGCAACAGAGGCAGCCCCTCCGACGAGGCCCTACCCTGCGCTATGAAACACACACACACACACACACACACACACACACAGGTGTGTGTGTGCCCATCTGGAACGTGCTATTTGCTCCATCATGGAAACCAATCTCCCAGAAAATTCTGAGGCCCAGGCTGGACCCTAGGTGAGAGCAGATCCCAGGCTCTCACAGCGCCCCCCCACCCCCGTGATGAGCACTCAGGGCCCAGGCCAGCTCTCGCCCTAATCCCATCCATCTTCCCACCAAAAGCCTTGGCCCCACCTCACTGGTTGGAGTGGACACCGTTGCATGTCCCAGGGTTGGAGAAGGGGGTCCTGACTGACCTGACCCGTCCACTCCTGCCCCCACCCTCAGCCACCACAGTGTGGCTCTCCAGCCGTGATTCGACCTCACGCCACCAGAGGGGCTGCCTGGGCTGGACCTCCCGCCATAGGCTCTGGAGTCCCCAGCTGGGTGCGGGCGTCGAGGCGGGACTGGGTGGGAGGCCTCCGAGGAGGGAACTGGCAGTTCTCTGTTGTGTTCTCATCATCATTTGGACCCTTTTTGGTTTCCTTTTCTCTTCTTTTCTTTTCTCTCCCTTCGTTTTGACTGGGCACTCCCTCCGCCCTTTGCTTCTCTCCCTGATTCCATCTCCCTCCACCTCCACGGCCTGCATCACACACTGAGCGACAAGTTGATGGCTCCTCAGCCCCACAGCACAGTGGCTGGGACGGGTCTTTGTTGGTTTCGACTCTGTCCAGGGAGGGGCAGGCCAGGGCAGCCCTGGCCGAGGAACTGAGGGCAGTTAGTGTCCGGGAGGTGCATCTGGGGGCACGGCCAGGAGTAGGTGGAACGGCCCTGAGGGGTAGGGGAAGGGGATGCTGGCAGAGCGGAGACATGGAGACAGGAAACGAGGCAAGAGGCAGGGCTGCCGAGGAGGCGCGCACGTGGAAGGCGAGACTGGGGTTGGGGGATGGGAGAGTGGAAGTCGAAGGAAGGCAAACACTTGAGGGCCTCTGAAGAGGCGGCAAGCACCCCGGTAAAGAGAGAGGGAGGACTTTGTTAGGACTGGGGAAGGGGACACTGAGTCATAGGAGCCAGAGCGGAAGGAGGGGGCCTAGAGAGCAGGGTTGAGAGAGGTGGTGGCTGAGGGGTGTGGTGACAGTGAGTACAGAGGGCAGAGGGTTGGAGACCGGGAGGGAGTATCTGGGAGTCATGCCTACTCTGGCCAGCTAGTGGGGACTCATGTGGTGGCTCCCTGTGGGGCCTGTGCCCGCCTCCTATTTGAACCTTCGTATCCCAGATATCAGCTGTACCTTGGCGTCCCCACGCCGAGACCCAGACCAGTTGGCCACCATTTTGTAAAAGCTCAAGATTTACAGTCAGACGTTGGGGACAGGCAAGTAAGCACCAGCTGTGTAGGACTTGGGCCGTGACCCTCTGGCTGGAACCCCAAAGTGCAGACTGTCCCCTTCTTGCGGTCCATGCGGGTTTGTGGAGCGACACGGGCCAGGCTCAGGAGTGTGTGGAGACTTAAGCTTAGGCTTCAGCAGGGGCCTGGTCTGGTAATGCGGCCCAGCACCACAGGAGACGATCACCTGGCGAAGGTGCTTCCTCCTCGGATGGCCGGGCGGCTTCCATCCTGCAGCCACAGAGGCCCAACTCATGAAGGCCACCACTGCAGTAGTTCCAGAAATTGGATTGTGTCGCTTGTCATTAAAAATGTAAAACAAGATCAACTTCTCAATTTCTGTGTGACCCCATCTACAGCAGAACTATTTGACCACCTGGAATGGGACAAAATGAGAATCCAAAGTGGATTGGCTATACGGGGCTAGAAATTTCTGGCTTTTCTGGTGGTGTTTTGCTCCCTTTTTTGCCCTCCAGAGGGCCCAGGGCTGGTTTCTGCGGGGGACCTCTCAGCTGCGCCCTGAAGCGACATGTAAACAGGGCGTGGTAGTGTGCCAAGAGAACTTTCCAAACAAAGACTGCCATGGTGGCTGGATCTAGCCCCTGGACCACAGTTTGCAAACAATGAGAAACCAATCCTGGTGAGGACATATCACACCTGGGGGGAAAAAAAGGAGGCTCTCGGTTCCCTAACAGATGGACAGCCTCGGAAGCCCTAGGGGCAGAATCGCCTCAACAGCAGCGGGTTGGGAAGGGCCTTAGACATGGAAATGACCTCCAAGTCCTTATCATGGCCTCCCTGAGGTGGAAGGCGGGGTATAGGTCATCAATAGGAAACCCATTACCTGCTGTGATACAGACCCCTGAGTCTCAAGGGACAGAGTGGCTGGCTGGCCTGAGCGCCACCAGGAAGCCCAGTGAAGAGACTTGTGGAACCAGGAGCCTTTGTCAGCAGAGGGACTTGGACAGACTGGAGAACTGAGGGCCTAACTGGTGGGCAGGGTTAGGCCAGATCAGGGAGGTAGGACACATCAGCCACAGGCAGCAAGCCAAGCTCCTCCAGGTTGTGAGGTTGGGGCTCAGCATGGGCGTGCAGCCTAAGAGGAGGGAGAGGGGGAGAAACACCAAGAACTGACAGGAGCTGATGAAGGTGGGGAGGAGGAGCAGGGCGAGAACAGGCAGAAGGGCAGGTCCCTCCTGAACCCCGTCTCCGAAGGCAGAACAGGTGCCCTGGGAGGGGAGGGGCAGTCAATGGGCCTTCTCATCTGAGCTCGATGGCTACAGGTCCTGAGAGGGAGCGGGGAGAAGAGACGAGAGCCAGGCCGGAGCTATCAGTGTTCCAGGACAAAGGGAATGGCCACTAGGTAGGAAGGAGGTCTGGCAGGTGACATTACATTAAGACAAAGGCACAGAGTGGCACGCAGGGATCCGCAGGGGGACTGGGGCTGAGGCTGGGGCCTGTCGGGGACAAAGTCCCAGGGGAAGCCCCAGACAGAAGGGCAAGGGCCGCAGCTGTTGGAAGCTTGATCTGTTGCAGAAAACGCCCCAGACAGCGGCGCACCCGCCAGCAGTCTCCCCCTGCCAAATCACTTGTCTTTTACACTGACTAGGAAGAGACCCCAGGGCCCAGACGGCCACCTTCCATGCAGGGCCGGGAGAGGGGTGGGAGCATCCAGAGAGAGTCACCATTCCATCCACCCCTCCAGTGGACAGCCCCACACTCATCCTCTCCTTCCTCTTCTCCCGCCCTGCCCGCCTTCCAGATCCGGGTGGTGGAAGCATTCCGTAGCTCGCTCTACGAGGGCCTGGACAAGCCTGACTCCAAGACCTCCATTCACAACTTCATGACGACGCCCGAGTTCCTGATCAACGACTACACCCACAACATCCCCCTCATCGACGACACGGACGTGGACGAGAACGAGGAGCGCTTGCGCGCGCCCCCACCCCCAGCCCCCAACAAGAACAACAACGCCATAGACAGCGGCATCTACTTGGCCACGTCCGCCAGCAAGTCAGCTACCTCGTCCCGGCCCGGAAGCCCCCTCCACAGCGTGGAGACGTCGCTCTAGTGGGACTTCTCTCTGGGGCCGCATGCGCGCACGCACACAGACTCACTCGCACACACGCTCTTTCTGACGCGCCCACGGCTCACGGATGTTCAACCAAGAGAGAAACACCCAGACGGGCAGTTTCTTTCCCCAGGACCCACGGGGGAGGAGGGCGGCGTCCCAGCTGACTTGCCTGGGCCCATGCTCCCGTCTTACCTTGGCTCCACCAGACAAGCGGACACGTCCACAGTATGTGTGTGAGTGTGTGTGTGGAGATATAGGTATATATATATTAATATATATATATACACACACAGTATGTGTGGAGTTTTATATATACACATAGAGATATATATGACAAGATGCATACTTACAGAATAAGGAGCTATTTACTGGCATGCTACGTCCATTCCTTTTAGCGGTCATTTCCATTTTGAAATTTCATTATTTATCATAGCAGGTGGATTTTTGTTTGGTTGCGTTTTGCTTCCCCCGCCCCCACCCCTGGCCACCCCCACCCCCCAGGGAACTAGTGTGCAAGGATATGTTTGGGACTCACAAACTTTGGCCCCAAATCCCACTCACCTCCTGTGACCCCCAATCCTCTGCACTTCCCCTCCCCCTCCCCTCAGTGCAGTTGGATTCCTAGGAGGGGCAGGGTGAGGGGGGAAGTGGTTAGGTCCTTTGAGCCCCGCATGTTTTGGTGAACATGTGTCCCCTCCCGCGGCCCCACCCCCACCCCCCGGCTGGGGTGCCGGGCTTTCCTGCTCCACACTTGCAATTTCAAGAGCAAGGTCAGGTCCCCTGCCTGCTTCTGACCCACATGGAAGGGTTGGATCCACAGAGCAACTGCAGACTGGATGTCTGATTGACACACCGGAGGAACTTCTATGAATGCCAGCAAGTCCTCCCTGGCCAATCCCCAGGCTCTACCACAGGGTGCCAGGCACCCCAAAAGTGACTGGGCACATGTCCTCAGATGCTACCACCAAAGCACTGAGGGCGACACTGTCTCCCACCTCACCCTAACCCACCCCACCTCCCAACCCCATCCCTGTACCACATCACTCCAAATCTCACTCGGTTCCCACACGCACCCCCACCCCCGCCCTGTCCTGGGCCACTTCTGAACAGGGTCAACAGAGCCCGGGCAGAAGCAGTTCTATTGGACACAAACCCCCCACTTTCGATGCCAGCTGCAGATCAATTAAAGCCATCCCTTTGTTTCTAAAGGGCACGTTGAGAATGTCACCCATCTGTAAATTGTTCCCTAATGTCCTTGTTTCAACAACAACAAAAACGGCCACTGAGCCTGCAGAGGGACCCATGTTCTTAAACAAGAAATATGCCCGGTGAATGTTTGGCAGCCGAGGGGTTGAATGTCTGTCCCGACCCCCTCTCGACGCCTTCGCCACCGCCGCCGCCGCCGCCGCCGCCACCGCCACTGCTGTATAAAGTCGCCTGGTGCCAGGCTGCCTTTCTGCTGGGGGAGGAGGGCTCGGGCTGCGGGGCCTGGGAAGGCCCTCTTTACACAGCACTATATTATATGGAATGGCTTGGTCAACTGTGTTCAGTCATTAAATATGTTTTACACTTTTATCTGCCTGTTATAAAGACAAACAAAATACCGTAATGAGAAAGACCACAGATGCATCATAATTTAAAGTCTGTAGTTGAGTTTCCTAATTTCAAGAATAGAAGCAACATTTCTGTGCATTAAAAAGGAAAGCAAAAGCAAGCCTCCTGCAGTGCCGTCTGTGGGACAAGAGGTGTCTCAGCGTTGGGGTCGCCCTCCGGGCCAGAGTTCAGAAGGCCAGTCTGGCCTGGGGTGGGGTTGGGCCATTCAATCCACCCGCAGGAGTAACCCATCTCCATGAGGGAAAGACCTTGGCAAGTGTCACAGCCCGTGCCAGCTGACAAGGCTGGGGAGCCCACACACCCCGCCAGCCCCTCACATCCACACAGACATCCTCTCACGCTCAATACCAGCAGACTCACAGCAACTGTATAGGACACAATAAAAACGGTAACTCTTGTCTGAAACGGAACTGAAACTGTAACTCTTTTTAATTTGTTTAATCATTTTATTGGAGGCTCTTACAGCTCTTATGAAATTGTAACTCTTTACCGGAGTGGAGAGCCCCCTCTTTTTCCCCCCTGAGGCTGGTGATTTTGAACTTGCAATAAGCAGCCCAAAGGCAGCAGAGAGATCCCATGATTGCACTCATGCTCTTAGCCATTGCTCTTCCCCAGAACTCTTCAGGTGTGCGTGTGAGCAGACTCCCCCTCCTCTCTCCGCCTCCCCCCCCCCCCCCCCCCCCCCTCTCTCCGCCTCCCCCCCCCCAGCGCCCCCCCAGCACCCCCACCCCCAGTCCTGCCTAGTCCCCCTGGTCTAGACAGCACCCTTTTAGGGCATATTTTCCAGGGACCCTGCTGCCAAGAGATGAGGAAAGGGGGTCCTCAAAGACACAAGGACAATTGCCAGCCAATCTGGAAGCCAGGGCTGAGGGGACGATACGGGGCCAAATCCCACGCAGCAATAGCTGGCATCTTGAGTAGCATATGGTCTCCCATAAGGAAATGGGATTTGGAGCTCTTCCTCAATCTGACACAGCTGCCCCCAAGGAAGAATGTCAGCCTTTTAATCTCATGGCTTGGGGCAAGGACGTGGGACAAGGTCCAGCTTTCCACAAACAGTATCATGTTCACCATCTACCTAGATCCCAGGAGGGGAGAGCAGGCGGACGGGAAGAGGCTGGTCAATCGTTCTTCAGTCGTTTCCTGCAGCCGTGTCCACCACAAAGGGCGCAAAGTGAGTGGTTGGGGGCCTCGCAGGGCCGTACTCTCTTAGAAGCCCTGAGAGTGGGTGCTCATTCTTTCTGTGTGACTGTCTAAGGATACCACGCAGGGCCCCCACATCCAGCGGGACCTCATACGAACATCTACAATGACCCCACTTCCACACAACAGTCACATTCAGGGCACCAGGGTTAGGCTTCGCCGTAGCTTCTAACAGAAGGCCTGGCCACAATGTTACACAGGTCCTGAGAGACTGGCCAAATAGTGTCTGATGGTAAATGGCTCTTAGAAAGCTGAGCTGGTCATACCCCTCAGTTCCCAGCACATAAGGGCCCTGGACATCCAAGGGTTAGTCTCGGAAACCCACAGGGGCAGTTCGACTTTGTCCTAGAGGTTGCTGTGAGTCAGACTCCACTCGCTGGCAGGAAGTTTGCGTTTGTTTGGGGGTTTGATCAATTCGCAAACCAAATCAGCTGAGACCCTCTGTCCACCACCCAAGTGCCTATGTCCCGCAAGTCCAGAAAATTCTTCATGTGGAGCCTGGGCAGGGCCTCGATCGAAGGTAGATGCCTTCATTTGGTTTGAGTCCTAAGTCAGGACAGGTCAAAGGCAGTGGCTGGGCACAACAACCAGCTGAACACTGAGCGAGAGGTCTCCCAGACCCTGGGAACCCTCACCCTCCACCCTCACTGACCCAGCCCTGATTCAGTCCCCCACCATCAGCTCCCCAAGATGTTGGGGACAGAGGACACTATCGGGATGAGCAGGGCATCCTTGTCGCCGAGGGTCCTGCCGGGATGCCCCTTGAACAGCCTGGACGTATGGGCCTGAGGCAGAGGGTGATTTAGTTTATTGTGCCAACCTGGCTGATAAACACATGTGGGATTAATTGAAGGGCGGAGGGATAAATGGCTCGGTGAGCCTTGCCTTTCTAGTTCTCGGGTCTCTTGCTTTGTGGTGGTCGCACCAGGGTGCAGCTGCCTTAGCAGTTCCCTGCTTCAGCTTGCAAGGCTGACTTCCTGCAAGACACCCCCAAGGAGAAGCCACATGGATCTACCCCGATGCAGCCCGGGGTGCTGGAGCAGCCACGTGGAGACCCCTGCCAGCGCTGAGATGCTTACACATTCACTGACTCGGCTTTCCTCCTGCAGTCGGCATCATTACGTCTGCTTTATGAGATAGAAGAGGACTTTGTGGATTGGTGTTGGACATATGGGTTAGTGGGTTAATGTTGGACTTGTGGGCTTGGGCAGCACTGGGTTTGGGATGTTTTCTTGATGCACACTTAACCTTTATATAAAGCTCTCTCTTATACATGAGTTTCTGTGGATTTGTTTCTCTAAAGTACCCAGACTAACACAGAGGGTCCCCTCATCTTGTGCTAAATTGTCCTCACACAGTTCCCTACACAGCACCGTGTCCCAGGACAATGTCACTCGTTTTCCTGAGTCAATGGTGCCACTCTGACTTGACGTCAACCTGGAGGAAATAGGGAACTTCCACCAGGCCCCAGCAGCAAAGTTCTGGAGGCAACGATCAGGCTAAAGGAAGTTCTCACCCTCTGCCACGTGCTTCTCAGTGACAGGCAGATTCCAAGAGCCGGCAGGGATCACAAAAGAGCTGGCTGGGCACCTGGTTCACTTCCTCAGTCAACAAAGCTGAGTCCCAGGCTCCTTAAGCGGGTGCTCAGCTCAAGCCCCTGCCCCCAGAAGAAAGGAAGCATCGCACAGCAGGGAGTAGGTTTGTCACTGTATTGCTGGACTTCTAGCTTAGAATAGCCTTTGGCATACAGCTAGTGCTCAATAAATACTATTGGGATAAGTTCCAAGGGCTTAGGAAAGTAGGCAGGATGAACATAGGAAACAGAGACAGTGGGACCCATGATATCACAAGGAGCCGGTGGGGGGTGATCAGTGACATGAAGTTGAATGAGCAGGAATTGTTTACTCACAATATAAGTAGTTCCATTCCACCTCCTTACCTGTAATGGGACCTAGCACTCAACAAACAGGGGCAGCCCGAGACCTGGATCCCAGGGGGATACCTGACCAAGCCAACCCTGGCAGCTAGACTTTAGCCGCCTACAGTTCCTGAGTGGCAGACTTCCACCTGTCGTACCCACCCCAGGGAACCCAAGCTCCAGCCTGTGTAGGCAGTGCTGGCACAGCCTTCCAGGCCCTCTGAGCCCGAGGTAGCCTGATGGCTACATTTGCTCCTTGGGAAAGGTGTGGTCTTGGTGGTTGGGGGGAGGGGTGGTGTTCTTTGGAGAAGGGGGTCTACATTCTCTGGACCCCTCCAGTAGACTTGCTGCCTGGTGGTTGAACCCAAATGGCCTCCCCTGGGCCTGGGCCTGCTGATGACTGTGCTCTTTCCAGAAAACACAGGCAGCTCGACCGCACCAGGTGAGGAAGTGGAGGGAGTCCGCCCAGGATCCAAGGCAGACACCTCACCAACAGGCCTGCCCACCAGATACCAGAGACTGGACGTCAGGTTGGTCTACGATGCCTTTTATTACACAAAATAAAATTCCCTCTTTGTTGACAAAAATCCCAGGGGATCCAGTTGAGTGGCAACTTTGATTTCCTCCCTCCAGTGAAGACTCGCCGCTAGCCTCACCAAGCAACGGTCACGCACACATCTGGCAGTGGCTGGGAGAGGCCGTGCAGCCTGTGGTTCAAGCACCACCTCCAGCCACACAAAGTCACTGCTCCTAGCCAGTCCTCTGAGTGTGGGCCTGCGTGGCACTGTGGCAGAGCCATCCCCAGCTTGCCTGGCAAGTCCAGTCTGCAGCCAAGCCTCCGCCTCACTTTGGAGGGCTCCTTAGGACACCTGTGTGTCCATGGTATAAATGTGAACGAGATCGGACACAATGCTGTCAATGGCTGGCTTGGTCAGGTCATCACTAAACACCTGGAAAGGAGAAGGAAATAGGCTCCAATTAGACTCTGGCTGTGGTACCAAGAAATGCTTCTCTTGCCATACCAGTTCCATTCCAACCCACCGGAGGCCCGAGACTTAAAGCAGAGAAGATCCCAGATGGAAGACTGCTAGTCATCAGCCAACCAAAGAGGAGAGGCTGCATCGGACAGTCTATGCCAATGACGTGATGTACCCCCCAAACAAGCACCCTGGACAGCAAAGCTTGGCTGAGCTTCCCTGCCTGGTGCTGGGAGCTTGTTGGCAGCTCCCGCCTGGTCTCTGCTACACATCTCTTCCCTTAGCTGACTTTAATCTGTCACTATAATGCATGGTATCTGTGAATACAAGTCTAAGGGCTTTACTGAGGTCCGTGAGTCCTTCGAGTGATTCACAGAGTGGGAGAGTGGTCTTCAGGGCCCCTGATTACAAGGAACATCAAAAGGCATAATGAGCCCCTGGAGAGTTGTTGCCGCCACCCCGGAGAAAGTGATGACGCTCTAAGGAAACAAGGCATCCTGCTCTTCCTCCCCACAAAGCAAGGTTCTGCGAGACAGTGATCTAGCTTGCCCGTCTCGCCCTGGACTCAGGGTGGAAAAGAGATTCTGAAATCGGGGACCCCCCTCACTACCTGCACGATCCTAGACACCCTAAGACAAGCAATGGGTATTCAAAAGTCGTCCAGAGCAGATGACAACCCCGGGGTCCCTGGCAGGAAAAGGCCTGGTCAGCACAGGCACGTGGAGTACCAGGAAGACTGTGACTTCACTCGGATGGCCAGGAGGAGGTGGCGCTGAGTCCAGATATGCAGGAAGGGTGATCAGGAAACAGCCTCCGGCCAAAGGGTGGTCAGCAAAGGGTTACTGCACTCTGACCTGGTTCAAAGGCCCACTCAATGCTCAGAGAATGACCCTGCCCAAGCGCTCACTGTGCTAAGGAGGAGTCAGTAGAAGACCCACTAACAGACCCGTGTCCCACGTGTCACAGATAAGGAGTGACAGGGAACAGGAACATCTTTGGGAAGGGGAGGGTTCAGCCACCTCACCTGCCACCACGGCTTCTCAGCCTCGCTATCGGCCGGCACCTCCACGCCGTAGACCTGCAGGGCCAAGTGGAGCACGGCCACGGCTATGTGCTGCGCCCGGAAGCGGAGGCACAGTGCTCCGTGGTAGCTATCCCGTAGTAGAGCCCAGGCTGCCACGGAGATGGGAGTTCGCTGCCAGCTGTAACGGTTCATCCAGTTTTTGATCGAGATCAGGTAGTGGAGCAGATACTGAAAAGACACACGTGTCCACCAGGGAAGCTAGCCACTGTCCCTCTTGGCTGTGCCCTGGCGCTGCACTGTGGCTCTGTCATCACCCATCTGCCCCCCTGCTACTTTCCTGAGCTAATCGGGTGACAGCTACAAAACACAAGTCAGACAGGACCACCTCCCACCTCACTGAGAAAAACCCACCTCACCTCCCTCCACCTACCCCAGACCCACCCCACCCTGCCTGCTGCTGCCCCCATTCCCCATGGGACTACCGACTCCATCCCTGAGATCCCTACTGGTCGTCTCACTCTGGTCACTATCAGAAGTCCCTTGCTCACTTTTTTACATCTGAGATATCACAGTGGAGGGCAGAGTTGCTGCTATAACCCCACGTGCCTACATCCAGGCAACCTGCTCCCAAGTGCACTAGTCTGGTGCTCATTGCCATTCAGACATGAAACTCTCACAGCATTAGGGCGTCAGAGCACTTCTGCCAGCACTGCAAGCTGAGTGAGAGCCAAAACAGGCATGCACGCATGTGCGTGTGCAAGTGCGTATGCTCAAGCGCACAAACACTGAGTGGTTGCAGTCCCAATCCCTCGGTCTGCTGACTGGATTCTCAGGAGTCCTAGTGGCATAGTGCTTGCACATTGATTGGGCTGCTAACCAACAAGTCAGCAGTTTGAAACCACGAGCTGATCCACAGGAGAAAGAGGGGGCTTTCTACTCCCATAAACAGTTAACAGTCTCAAACAGCCACAGGAACAGTTCTGCGCTGGTCCTGTAGGGTTACTCTGGGTCGGAATTGAGTCAACAGCGGCGGGGTTGGTTTACTGGAGTAGTGAGTACTCACCAGCATGACTGGTGTCCGTCTAGAAGAAACAGAGGGTAACGACAGCCAACAGGTACTCAGGAGCTGTGGCTGCCACAGAAAGCCTCTGCTCTCATCTGCCACTCAATCCTTAGACTCCCGTCCCAATTAAAGGAAGGAGAAGCAAGGCTGCCCGACCAAGGTCTCTGCTTTCTTAGGACTCCAGGTGAGTGTCATACCTGAATCCAGGCTAGCCCCAAATTCTAGTCCCCTTAGGGAAGCAGGGTGCCGCAGGGCACCTGGCACAGACGCAGGCTCATGGGGCACAGCAGCAATTCTCCGCCACTCCCAGTGCCATTCATCCCACTGCTGGACTGATGCCCTAACTCGCCTGCTTTCCCACTGGGCTTGAGGCCCCAAAGACTCATCTCCAAATGTTGGTTTTCCCCTTTTGCTACTATTCTAGATGGTTTGACGGAGGCTTATTTGTCCTGAAGAGTGACTAGTACTCCACAACTCTGGCTACCTCCCTTTTCTCATGCATTGCCTTACACAGCAGGTCCCCAAACACCGGCCCTAGAGTGTAGTCTTCATAGTGCCCCAGAGTCAGGCCAAGGGACCTGTGATGGCTTCCAAGGCTTTGTGCAGACTCTGGCACAGATGAAAAGGCATGCACTGACCGTGAAAAATGCCCGGGGAAAGCGAAAAGGCCACCAAGAGAAGCCGTGGGACACAAAGCACAGACTGGCTGGGCAACCGTGGCGTCTCATACCTTGTGTGGATGCTGGAAGGAGACCTGGAAGCGCAGGACCCGGAGGATGAGCAGCTCACACTGGACGATGCTGTCCCGGAGCTCCCAGAAGCGAGCGTCCAGCTCCAGGGGCTCGCTGCCCGAATTGAAGTACCTGTGCAGAGAAGTGACTGGTTAACCCGGGTGGCGAGCCTCCAAGGCACACACTGTCCAATCCAAGGTGGCAGTGGCTTTTCTGCAGCAGGTGAGCAAGCAGACGATTATAATTGACAGATCTTTTTGTGCGTCTTTGTCTGCGTGTCTCACGTTCAGGGTGAAGCACACAACTGACAAAGGGAAGAAGTCGCCGTGCAGCACCATCCAGCAAGATGGAGAACGGAAAGGCTGGCCAGGGACTGAGGGCCGTCTTGGTGGCCTGGATGGCCATACCCAGGGCTCATGCTATGGGCCCCAGAGATGGGACTGATGCAGGCCAGAGGGGACAGCGTGCTTGGCAAAGTGTATTATCTATTCCGGCGCCCTTCTCCCCACACAAGCTCGCCAACGTGAGACCGGGAGGTTGTGAGCAGAGTGCTCACTGATGAGGTCCTTGCTCCCTGCTCTGCCCCTCTAACTGTCCCCACGGCTCCACCACCTAGTCAGGAATGTGAGGTGGCTCTCCTGACCGGGACCAGGAACCTTCTAGCAGTTCATTAGTAAGAGGCTTCTCTCTGGTTTCCTCCGCCCTGGCCCACAGCATTAGCAAGCTGTCTGTCTGTGCCAGGGTGTAGGCTTGGTCCCTGGTCTCTGATACCATTTTACTACGACAACTCCCCCCCTCCCCACCCCCGACACTTGCTTTGCCGCCTCCACCCACCCCTGCTCTCCACTGTCCACCAGAGGCCAGGCAGCCCACCTCGGCCCTGGGCACCCACACCTCAGCTCCGGTCCAGGCCCAGTTCCGTTGCCTGCAGGCCCTTCATAGCTTGGCAAACTGGCCACTGTGCGCAGCCCTCACCTGTTGGACACGTTGATGATGTCCCGTGTGCGCAGGTGCTGTTCCTCCACTTTACCAGCCAAGTAAATGGCAGACATGGCAATGAGGTAGGGATCATAGGCATCCAGGGCGGACTCACCAACAAACTTGTGGTAAATTGTGCAAGCTGTGGCGATGGGGATGGACTGCAAGCCCAGCTTGACACCTGCAGGGAGGGCACACTTCAACATCTGACCAGGTGAGGCAGAGAACTGTCACCCCAGAGGACAGCTGCTGCTGGGCCATTTCCTTTGCCCCCTGCTTAGGGGATTGAGAGCCAGGCTTTGTGGCCTCTACCAAGCCCCAGGGGCCACTGGGACCCCTGCCTGACTGCAGGCCACCCTCCAAGGTATTCAGCTCAGTGGTGCGTGGACCCCAGATTGGCATGGTCGTCCTGGATTAAGAATGATGGGAAGAGTAGAGACCCTCAGCCTTGTACTTGCAAACAGGGTCCTGGAAGATGTTGTCACTTAAATTAACCTGTGGCCTTACTGATGTAGGAAGAAGTGATGCTTCTAGATGGCCAGAGTTAACATGCCCCAAACCAAGGCCTGGGAAAGAGTAGGGTGGACTTTCCCCCAGAGCCTTAAGGTTCCAGCACAGTCACCTGATTCTGTTTAGCATCCTCTTCCTAAGAAGTGACCACATCATAAGTGTTGGACCACGCAAATGCATTCTTTTACAGTCTTGGAGGGCCACAGCCTACAGTGAGTCTCCAAGGGCTATAGTAGGCTGGTTCTCACATTCCTGGGCTGTGGCCCCTTCATTTACCTTCTTACAATGCTTCCTTACCAGTAGCATCTTACAACTCTGTCTCTACCACCACCTTCCCTTCTCCTCTGACTCTGACCTCCTGTCTCTCTCCAGTAGGACCCTTGTGATTAGCTCCCCACACCTCAAGATCCCTGGTCACATCTGCAGGCTAGTCGTATTCAGGGGTCTGTTATCACTCCTGCCCAGAGGGCAAGCTCATGTGCACTATGTTTTAGGATGAATCCCTGCAACTGTAAATGAGCGCTGCACCTCTTTAAGCTGCTTACTCCCCACACTGTCCACTGTCTGGGATGCCTGGTCCAGTGCTGTCACCTCTGGGATGACAGGAGGCAGGGACATAACGCCACGTGTGTGTCCTACCAGGGCTCAGGACGCGAATTCCTAAGGAACCGCTCCTCGCCAGCAAGACTTGTGCAAAGGACCCGGCGCGACCTATGCCGGGGGCAGGGGGGCCAGGTGTGGCAGGAGGACCTGGGTGCTTCCTGGGCGCTGGGCGCTGCACGCGCTGGGCCCTCCCGCCACGGCCCTGTCCCGGCCTGGGAGGCCCATACCTGGAGCCCACGGTTACCTGCCTCCATGATGAACCTGGTCACTCGGAAGTGGACCTTTGCCGGAGGCGCCAGCTGCCCCTCGACCGGGTTTCCACCGCCGTCCCGGAGTGCGCCCTCCATGAGGCTCCGCCCTGCGGCGCACGCAGCCCGCCGG